TTGAGAATTCATAGAGTTAAAATTCAACTTTTTAACTGACTAGTAGAATGTAGTTGGAATATTTGGTTGCCAAAATATTGAAAAATAATAAATCTGACTGTTGATAATTAAATGCAATGGAAACTTCTATTTATTTTGCAATTAAGTTGTTTTGTCCATGAATCTCCTAATAGCTATACTTTTGTGCCCCATAACTCTTGTTAACATCTTGTTTCCAAACCCTACATGGCTAGGCTTTTGTTCTGGAGAGCAAGAACTCCAGGCCATCTTTGCAGAGCTTTACCCAATATTCTAGAAATGTCACATCTGTTATGACATCACCACATTTTTGATCTGCTATTTTAATTTGTCAAATGAAGAACATTGTAGAAATCATTCCTACCTCTTTGCAACAAAACATTTAGCCTCTTCAGATAATACGAGATTCCCAAAAAGCATGGTTTTTGAAATAGTAAGATGGTAGTAGGGTACAACTCACCATCACATGGTTTTGTCCAACAAATGGTAGCTAGCACGAATAAAGAGCTGCTAATTCCACCATGCTGTCTGTGGCTGACTTTTACTACAGTATTGTTCATAGCTATTGACACTAGCTGTAGGTGCGGACTCTCACATGAAAGAATATCAGGGGAATCAATCTGCCTTTGAGTATGTGCTGAAAAATACCCATACAAGTCTGTCTGGAGATGGAGCTACATTTGTTTATGTGTGTAGATGTGTATATGTGAGGGTCTATCCATTCCCAGAGTCTCAATTAGCTTCTTTAAATATTTGTGGTGTGCTCTGAGACAACCCACGTATTTCCTTCACATGTCACAAGGACACTAGTCATGATGTCCTCCTGCTCTTTTATGCACTAATAACACAAGGGATAGTGCAGTTCATGGGAAAATGGGTGTAAAGGAATCATGGATGTCTTTTGTAAGTTATTCTGCCAGAATGTAGTCAAAATTATTTTTGAACAGTGTTGGGTAGGGAGGGAGTTGCCTTTCTTAGTAGAAGAGGAATAATAAAAATCCTGAATGTCTTTTGACAGATAATAAAATATGTTCTTAATAGATAACTTCCAAATATATAACTAATAAGTTCCTTACATTTAGAATTCCAGTTTTTTTACAGTTACAATATAATGAGATAATCTGTGCAAATTTGCTTATACTTAGTTTATTAAGTGTTCAATAAATGTTAGCTTCTGTGTAGGGTTGTGATGATATTTTACTGTCAGTAATAAGTTTATTAGTAGTAATAAAACTTGTGGCATTGTACAGCAAGCCCATTTACAGTCTAAATTGTATCAGGTATTTCTTGATTTTTAGATAATGTGTTTTAATTGCAATCTAATGCAGTTGTAAGGACTTGGTTATGACTGCTTAATCTCTTTTTTAAATATTCATTAATCATCACTAATTTTTAGATTCAAAATCTCTATAGTGATCTCTCTATGGTTTTCTGTGATGCCAAGAGTTACTCTATAAATATGATGAAAACTCTATAAATATAAATATTATATAACACCAAGTAAAATTCTCTCCTCTCCTCTCCCAAGACCTCTACTTGAGGAGAATTTTTGAGCATATTTCTTTGGAAACGTCTGTTACAATACTCGTTAAATACACACAACACACTAATCCCTTTAAATTGATCAGCTGATTTGAATACCTAATACATCTTGTAGGAAATGATACATAGGACAAAACATTTGACAGAGGAGATACCATATAGGCTGGCTTGTTAGGAGTTTGAGAGGGAGCGTAACAGAGTCGAGAGACGGATGCTTGTTGGCCAGGGGAAATTGCAGCACATAAAATGGGAAAAAGTACTGAAAAGGAATGCCAGGATGGGGGTTGTTAACAATAAATTTCACTCTTTTTGTAGTTTTGCCTGGTATGAGTCTTTCCTGGTTCTGATATCCTAAGAGGGGAGGATTCATGGAGTGGATTCCTTGGGCCACAGAACAGAAAGATGACCTTTATTCTTCCTTCTTTAAAGAACAGGAAAAAAAATTTTTTTTACATAAATGTTTCAATGTAAAATGTAAAAATTCAATTGTAAAACTAGTCTTTGATTTTGTCTTCTTCTATTAGTTAACAATTGAGTTTCTTTTTCTATTTCTTCTCTGCCTGTGTGGTTCAGCCAGGACATGGTGTCTCCTGGTTATCAGGAGATGATGTAGTTGTGTTTTCGTGCACTGGCACAAACTGTTTTCTCCAATTGGCCATTGTTTTCTGGAGAGAGGGACTTCTGTGTACCGGAACTGGCACAGTCTGGCATGCAGGCTTGCATGCCACCTCTCGGAACTGATGAGACAACATTCTGGCTGATTAATCAGATAGGTTTCATAACCTGCTGCAGAACAAGGGGAGGGGAGAACATTATGCATTAGTGGCATCCAGCTTGCACGTTTCACTCTTTTCTTGCAATTAGGGAAGATGCCAATTTTGCTTTTGTTGCAATTTTAAAATGCTTAATGAAACGTTTAGAACTAAAAGGAAAATGATCTCTTAAAAGTAACACTGAAAATGAGTGTGGATCTGATCTTTTTATTAATACAGTTTGGTTTTTAAGAGAATCTTTCCATTTGTAAAACCAGTGGCAATATACCTATCTCTGCAAAACAGACTCTCGCCAATGCATTTTAGACAGATTAGTAAAATTTATATATTAACATTTGTACAGTGCCAGGATATTCATTATAGTAGTAGACTGTGATACCTGCTTTTCACGTCACCTTATAGCGTAGTTTACTTGTGATTACCAAAATTACAAACAACTCTTCAACATTGTTTCTTTAATCTTTAACACTGTGAGGAAGGCTGAAGGTTATTTTCATGTTTACAGAAGAGCAAGTGGCCCAGGGAGAAATAGTTGGAGCTAAGAGTAAAACTAAGATAGCCTGACTTTTGTCCTTGCCAGCATGTCCTTGGTGCACCTGATCTGCCCGAATCTCTAGATAACACCTCCAAGTTCTGTCAGACTCTGCCACATGAGCAATGATTTTCTTTATATCTGCATTGTTTTCATGGGTAACAGTGAATAGGAGGCTCTAATGTGCTTTGGAGAGAGTGCATGATTTTCCTTGAAGAGATGCCATATCACATAGTGGTCAAGACTGCAGACTCTGGAGCCAACTGCTGGACTTTATTTAAACCCCAGCTCTACCATGAAGTAGCTGCATGACTCTGGGAAAGGGGACTGCTCTGGGCCTCAGCTTTTTTTTTTCATCAGTAAACTGAGAATAAGAAAAGTGTCTATCTTCATAGGGTTGCTGTGACAATTGAATGAATGAATGAACATATGTAATGTACAAAAAAGAGTGCCTGTACAGAGTAAGCATTTTATATGTATTATTATTATTATTATCATTTAAGAATTGCACTTTTCCAAGTGGTCCTTTGTTTTTCAGTGTCCAGAGGGAACTCATCCCTGTTCAGAACTGACTTCCCAAATTCCGCTGGCATAGTGAATATTTTTCTTTAGAAAATCCATCTTTATATGACAGAGTGTTCATTCTCTAGTCTTTAGTCTTAGTCTAAATTATAAACATGGTGTGGGAAATAGGACACTGGACTGAGGTCCAAGACCTGGACTTTAGTCCCAGCTCGTCATTTCCCAGCTGTGACCCTGGGTCAGTCACTAAACCTCATCAGGCTCTGCCTCTTTTCTCCTCATGAGAAAGCTAGACTATAAAACTTCCACGTCCACTTATAAAATCCCTTTCCGTGACTGAGGTGATTGGGATAAGTCCACTTTAACAAAAATATTAGGCAAAGCCATCCTTGTGTATCCCATTTAGTTAAAGCCTTTTATTAGAAGGATTTCACTATTATTACATAGGTAGGATTGGCAAGTGCTTGTGTAGATTTTGAGGAATGGAATATGCTACGGCATTTTTAAACATGTGTTTCGTCGGACACCCTGAGGAAAAACGACTCATCAAATTAAACAGCGTATCACGGAGCACGTTGGTTAAAATAGGTGACTTACCCTTTTGCTGAGTCTGTGCTTTGTGGAGGAACTCTCCAGCCATCAGCGTCCGCATCCTCCCACACTGTCCTCTGCAGTTCGGGGTCACCTCAGCACTGCAGTGGTAATGGAGAGGGGAGAGAGGAGGGACCATCTCCTCTTTTGTCTGTGCCCCATGGGAGTAGGTTCCGGCTTCCCCACACTTGGTCCTTCGGGTGCCTGGGTCAGCATCAGTTTATATACTTGATCATTGTTAATGAAGAAGTAAAATAAGAAGTAAAAAAAGGAGAAAAAGTCTTTCTCAAGTGCTGATGTTCCTGAGAGCTGATGATTTCCTGTGATCCTCATTTGCTTTTTGTTTTGATTGACATACTGAGCCTCCGAAGCCCCCCCGCTTTTTTTCCTCCATCAGTCAGATGGGAACATTGTCTTTAGGGTGATGGAAAAGACAGAAGGAATATGGGTAACTAATAATTTATTAAAAGGCAGATTGTAAGGATAATCCAATGTATAAAAACCCAGTTTACCAAGCATAATGGTATGTGATTTACTTTACAGAAGATATTTTAATTTGTAAGCTCTTGTACACTGAGCGGCTGATTTAATTTTCAGTTCTTTAAAGAAGAGCTTCTTTCCTTGTTTTCTCCCAAGCCTAGGAATGCTGGGCCTGAGTGGGACAGGAGTTCCAGCAGTGTGCAAAGTTGCAGACTGTGGGGAGGGACGGGTTCACCGTCCTCAGAAATGCAAAGGACAACTCCCCCCCCCCCCGGGGGTTATTCCTTATTGCAGGAATCTCAAGAGCCTACTGGCAACCACAGAGCCGATTGGGAAGGCTAAAGTTGAGGCCCTGGGCTTAAAGAGCAAAGACACTGAAAAGGGCCAGAAAAGAGCCTGGGGATAATCCCTGCAAAAGTGAGCTCTGAGGGTCTGGGTCCATTTCCTCCCTGAGCAGTAGCACAAATATATAGAGTGATGTTACTCAGGATACGCCTGGTCCATAACTTTCTTTTTTGGTGTATATTTCTCCTTGTTTGTAGGGCCAAGGAGATCTGTTGAAGAATGCCAAGAATGAAGCCATAGAAAACATGAAGCAGATCCAGCTGGCGTGCTTGTCCTGTGGACTTAGTAAAGCACCCAGCAGTGGTGCAGAAGCCAAGAGCAAACGTAGCCTGGAAGCCATCGAGGAGAAAGAGAGTGGCGAGGAGAATGGGAAGCTGTGACCCTGCGCAGTACTGACACGCACACCCAGCCTTCCCCTTGAGGACTCCGGTTTTTCTCTCTGGTTTTCTTTCTTTCAGCTTTTTAGAAGTTCACAAAAAGATGCCCTCTGTGGGGTGTTGGACATAGATATTTTCACAATGTCAGTATTTTAATGTAGTTAATTTATCTAAGTTAAAACCTTTAGTAGTGGTGTTTAAAAATTCTCGGATGTGTGTACATACCCATGTATGGATGTGGGTGGGAGCGTGTGTGTGTCTGTGTATGTGTGTTTGTATGAGAGAGAGAGACAGAGAGAGAGAGACAGAGAGAGACAGAGAGAGACAAAGAAAGAACCAGAAAGTGACAGAGAGAGAAAAAGAGAGATTGAGAAAGAGAGCTCGAGATCCTATGAAAATCTATTCTATGTTGCATTATTCATTTAGTAAGTTATTACTTTATCATTTTGGGACAAATTTGTTAATCTGAAATTCTAAAGAGCACTTACTATAACCGGTTACTGTGTTTACTTTACTTTGTCATTTAATTTAGAGATCTTAACATAGGTTATTAGCAAAGGAAGCCAAATTTGCCAATGCATAGATGTTTTGATAGATTAAATATCGATTAGAAAATTCTTAAGAATCACAGTAGAAATAAAAGTGGGTGAAAGATAAACAAGTCATCAGAATTTCTGAGGTCAGCAAAATCATTTCTTCAGTTAGAAAGTCTTTAAACTATTTATTAAATAAAATCAATTTTTAGACAGTTTTTTGGTAGTTGTTTAACAAACATATGATTTCAATGGAAAAGCTAATCATAAACGAATTTATACCCACCTCTGCAGAACTCTGAAACACAATGAGAGCTCTGTTGTAATTAGGATTTTGATGTGACATGATTTTCAGTTATAAAATTTCAAGGTTGAGATTCGCTGGAAGGTCTCATTCTTCCAAACCGGGAGTCTAGCATTCATTTTCTATAATGGACATGAGCAGCCAGGAGGTCTTGTCTTTGATTAAATATAATTTGTTGTACTAAATTTAAATTGAAAGACATTGTTCAAACAATACCACATTATCATGTTGAGCTGATATAAATTCTGTGGGTCAGATAACATCTTTGTGGTGATTTAAGAACTAACATTACAAATATGATAAAATTTTAATACATGAACAAAAACTTACACACAAAAGAAACAAACTAATTAGGGTACATTTATAATTGCATCCAGATAATTTTTACCCTAATATCTTCATAAAGTACTTGAGTGTAAAATGTTTGTTACCTCCAGAAGAACTAAATGTTCTATGGTTATGAAAATGTATTTATTTAAAACATTGCTTTTATTTTGAAAAGCTTCTTAATTAATTTGATTAACAAATACACCAGTTTTGGGGGAACCTAGAGAAGATAATTGTTGACATTTTGCAAATATAAGCATCTTCTATAGCTACTGTGTTGAGTTATTTCTGACTTCTTAACACTATTATGTTCGTGTTGCACATTACTGAAAGTAAAGATATGAAACAACACTTTTATTGTTTTCCTTTATTGTGAATTCATTGAAAAGAGAAAAAGTAATGAAAATAATGACATATAATGATATTATATTAAAAATATCTCAAAGGGTATGATATTTCCATGGACCAAAAATGATGAAATTTCTCCTTGGGTTTCAAACTGGGCACTTGGGGAGGTTCATGAGCTCATTTTAAGGTAGGTTTCCAATGGTACTATGATTGCCTGAAAAAATTTCTTCACCCTCCATTATACTTAACCTGCACAGTAAAAGGAATAGTAGAATGCAGGTATCTGAACTCCTTATGACAAAAAGGAGGTGATAGAGACAGAAACAAAACCCACTTTACATCACCCAATTGGTAGGTTTCACCTGTGGACCTCTTCACCTCCCTGAATTCTATTCAGAGAAGTCCATGCCTTTACTGGTGGTACAGAGAGGTGGGAAGAGAAGATAAAGAGTGAAAATGCTCAAAGAATATTATTAATTTCTTTAATTGAGGGTCAAAGCCAATCCTTAAACGTGGCTTCCCTAGTTTATTCCACTTGCCTTGGAGTTCCACTCACACTTAGGAACTTGCCCAAATGCTCCTGAACTGTTTTTGTTTTTAGCTTAAATAGAGTTTGAAAACCAAAACCAAAACAAAACACAAGTATCCTTGAGAACATGATACGGGTTCCACCTCATCTAATGCTACTTCTGGCAATGGGTTGTCTGCCATTCTCTACTCTACTGCACTGGGTATGATTACTAGTCAGGGAGTGAGGGGTGGGGCAGGGTGGAGCTTTAGATTTTGAGAATGGTCCTCCCTCTGGATAGAATAATAAAAACAAAACTTTTTACATTATTACATCCTACCAGCATCTGTCTTCTTTCCAGACTTGTATTGCAGTAGAAAAATCCTCCTTCTGTCTGCTTAGCTTTTGATGATACGAGGAAGGTAATGGTAGATATTAATTCTGTTTTTGTTTATTAATTTTTACATTACCAAGGGGATTTGAAGCATAGTGGTAGATATTGTCACTGACAGAGCCACTGATATAGTAAATGGAAGAATCGACTTGGATTCTGGTTTGTCTGATTTTATGTGCAAGAGTATTGGTTCAGTGGTTTTGATTTTTAGTTTAATTCTCAAAATTTTAAACTGAACTACTAACTCTTTCCTTTATAACCACAAATGAAAAGAACTTTATTGTATTCTTTGATAATAAAATACTAATGATCAATATTAAACATGCAAAAGCAGAGATATGTAAAAGAGTCACCACTATTAACATTTAGATTTATACCCCTTCAGACACTGAATATGCTTTGATTATACATACATCTAAATATGCTTTGATTTTTAAGAAAAGTGAGATCACATTATATAAAGTGTTTTTGTAATAATCTTTTCACACAATAAAGACAATACATCATGGATCTCTTTCTGTCAATAAATATATATCTATACATATTGGGGCTCTCAGCCTTTGAATTGAATTTAGTCCACTAATAACATACTTTATTTGGCTACTGAATCTTTTTAAAAAAATTTTAAACAATAAACAACGTTTAAAAATCAGGAAATTTCACATAAAAATTTAATTTTCTCCTTCTTCTAAAAGATTGGGTATTCTGATGACACTAGACACCCTTCCACACCTCCCCACATCTTACTTGTCATCAATTAATCGGAGCTGCCTTCTCCAAGAGGGGCATGTGCTGCCCAGTTTGCCAAAGAGCTTCTTCTCTCATTTATGTCACATCCTGCCTTAGATGTCTTAGATGTCTTAGGTGGTGATTCTTGATTCAAATTAGTGTCATTGTCTAATTATGTGGATTATCATAACATATTTAGCCAATCCCCTCTTTTCTCTCCTAATTTCTTGTTATATAAGCATTGCAGTGATGAAAATCCATTTTTTCAAAGTGGTTCAATTATTTCTTTAGGATAAATTTCTAGAAGTAGAATTGTTGGGTCAAAGGATACATGGATTATTTTTAGGGATTTTGAAATACATTGCCAAAGAGTCTCCAAAAAATGTATCCAATTTCAATTCCCACCAGGAGTTTATGAGAGTGCTCAAATCTAATACTAAATTTAATTATTGTTTTTCATATCTTTGCCAATCTGCTAGATGAAAAAATCTTATTTGTCTTTATGTCTACTCTCTATTGAGAGTGAACATGTATCAGTATGTTCATTGACTATGGATAATCTCATATAGATAGTTATGAGTTTCTGATCATTTTTGAGTGGGATGGTAACTTTTTATCTTTTTATTATTATTTTTAAGAGGCATTTACCTAATAATCTTAACCCTGTGTTTTTGATATATATTACTAATGTCTTTTGACATACAGATCCCTAATTTAAACCAGGTTATGATTTTTTCCTTTATGATTAGTGTTAAGACATCTTTGTCCACCTGTGCTCATGAAAATATTCTCCTATATAGGATTGCCTGTTAGTAGCTTTCTTGGTTTACTTTCCACATTTAAATCTAGAATCCTCCTACCCTTGCTTTTTGTGTATAGAGTAAGGTAGACATCTAATTTCATTTGTTCTCAATGTGGATAATCAGCTGATCCAGCCTATTTACTGTAGACTGTTCTCTATCCACTCCTCTGTAATGTCACCCTTGTAAAAAATGAAGCACCCATGTATGTGTGCATCTATTTCTAGAATCTCTGTTTGGTTCCATTGGTCTGTGTCTGTCCTGGCAACATTACTGCACTGTTTTAATTATGATAGGTTTGTAATGTTTTGGTATCAGAGAGAGTAGGCCTCCCCACTTCTCTTCTTCTTCAACATTTCCTTGGTTATTTTTGGTTCTTTGCATTTCCATATATCAATTTCTATTAGGTACCTTCTGGAATTTTTATTGGTGTTACATTGAATGGATATATCAATTTGGGGAGTTCAGACATATTCACATTATTGAGTATTCCAATCCATCTGCATGGTATATTACTCCATTTATTCAGGTCTTATTTAATTTCTCTTAATACAATTGTATAGATTTCTGTATAAAAGTCTTGCAGATCTTTCAGTAGATCTATTCCTAGGTATTTGATGTTTTTCATGCTATTAGAAATAGTAACACTTTAAAACTTAAATTTCTAAATTGTATATAAAAATATAATAGATTGTTTTGTAATGATCATGTATCAAGTGAACTTGCTAAACTACTTGTTGATTTTAATTATCTATTTATTATTTTGGATTTTATAGGTATAGATCATGTCATCTGCAAATAATGACAGTTTTATCTTTTCTCATCTGTATGCATTTTACTTATGTGTTTTATCTGTTTTTCTTGGTTTGTAGAACTGGTTAAAACCTCCAGTATAATATTCAATAGAAATGATGTTAGTAAACATCCTTTCTCCTTCCCAATCTCAGAAGAATTTTGCAGTATTTCATCATTATATATGATGTTTACTCTAGATTCTGGTAGATTCTTTTGGGGAATTTAAAAATTTTTAAATACAATTTTTGCCATATATATATATATATATATAAAACTATAAAACCCTTAGAAGAAAATATAGGAGAAAATTTTGCAATCCTGGGTGAAGGCTATGAGTTTTAGATATGACACCAAAAACACAAGTAACAAAGGAAGAAATAAGATTGAACTTCATTAAAATTAAAAACTTTTGTACTTCAAATGGCACCATCAAGAAAGTGAAAAGACAATCTGTAGAATGAGTTTACAACTTGTATGTCTGATAAAGGACTGGCATCCAGGATACATAAAGAATCACTATAGCATCATAAAAAGACAACCCAGTTTTAAAAATGGACAAAGGATCTGAATAGACATTTCTTCAGAGAAGATATACAAGTGGGCAATAAGCAAATGGAAGGATGCTCAACATCATTGATCATCAGGAAAATTTAAGTTGCAAACACAATGAGATACCACTTCTCACTCACCAGGATAGCTACAATAAAAAAAGACAGGTAGTAACAAGTGCTAGTGAGGATGTGGAGAAATTAGAACCATCATACACTATTAGTGAAATGGAAAATGGTCCAGTAGCTTTGGAAAAGAGCCTGGCACTTCATCAAAAATTAAACATAGAGTTACTATATGACCGGCAAATCCACTTCTAGGCGTATACTCAAGAAAAATGAAAATACATGTCCACAAATGCTCATAGCATCATTATTCAGAATAGCCAAAAAGTGGAAACAATCCAAGTGTCCATCAACAGATGAAAGGATAAAAAAGATAGCATATCCACAAAATGGGTTATTCAACAATAAAAAGAAATGAAGTATTGATACATGTTACAACATGAATGAACCTTGAAAACATTATGCTGGGTTAAGAAAGCCAGGCAGGGAGACCACATATTGTGTGATTCCTTTTGTATGAAATGTCCGTAAGAGGCAAATCTGTGGAGACAGAAAGTACACTAGTGGTTTTCAGGGGCTGGGAGGAAGTGGGTTGGGGAGTGACTGCTGATGGGTATGTGGTTTCTTTTTGGGGTGATGAAATGTTCTGGAATTAGATACTGATGATGGTTGCACAGCTTTGTGAATGTACTAAAAACTACTGTGTAGTTTAATAGGGTGAATTTTATGTTATGTAAATTATCAGTGAGAGAGTTACTTAAAAAAAAAGAAACATAGAAAAGAGAGTTTACATAACGAACTGAGCACCAGTGAATAGTGAAATAACTCCAAGAAATCTAATACATACAAAATTGGCAGGGGGGGGGAAGAAAAAATATTTGAAGAAATAATGACTGAGAAAACTCTTTGAATGAAAACTATAAAGCCACATAT